AGCTGGAACACCTACCGGACTTCCTACCAGGTATCTTTGTGAAATCAAAGAAAAGCAACCAGAACGATCCAGCTTCCGATGTGTTATTAAGCATCGCAGCTCAGACTGGCTGACACAGTAGCTAGGAAATGGGTAGCCATTTCAAAGGGCTCAATTTGTAAACTGTAAAAATGAAATACCCAAGAATGGCTGGATTAGGTGAATTGAAACGGAAGCAAAATGGTCTTGAGTAATTTCCCCATTGGGAAAGAATATTAGAGTAAATGAACAAACTGACAGAACATTTAAATTTTAAAATCCCAGCTTCCCTAGTGAAAGGCTTCGTTCTTCCTAAGAACAAAGAAACACATGGTTTGTTTTATCATTTCCGGTGCCACGTGTTTCTTACACTGACTATCAACATCAATCAAAACGTGCTCACTCTCAGGGCTTTCTAACTGAATTGCAATTCAGATAGAAGAAAAGTGTTATTAATGCATCTACCCCCACAGACAGCTCCCATCCCAGCCGGAAAAAGACAATCCAAGTCACCCTTTTACACAGGTTTTATTTTTAAGGCACATTAGATTTGAACACTTGTAACCCTATGGGGCAGTTCTACTCTGTCATATGTGGTCGCTATAAGTCACTCTGAGGGCTAAGGTGCACCTAACTCAAGCCACGGTATTTTCAATCACCTTTTATGCATGTGAAAGCTGGACAATGAATAAGGACGACCGCAGGAGAACTGATGCCTTTGAATCATGCTGCTGGCAACCAACACTGAATATACTATGACTGCCAGAAGAACAAACAAATCTGTCTTGGAAGAAGTACAGCCAGAAAGCTCCTGAGAAGAATGGCGAGACTTTGTCTCATGTACTTTGGACATGCTGTTAGGAGGGATCAGTCCCTGGAGAAGGACACCATGCTTGGTAAAGCAGAGGGTCAGCAAAAAAGAGGAAGACCCTCAGTGAGGTGGACTGCCACAGTGGCTGCAACAATGAGCTCAAATACAGCAACGACTGTGAGGATGGCAGGACCAGGAGGTGTTTCGTTCTTTTGTACACAGGGTTGCTATGAGTCGGAACCGACTTGATGGCACCTAATGACAACAACATACCATATCTGAGGAGTCCCTGGTGGCACAAACGGTTAACCACTCAACTACTTGCTGAAAGGTTGACAGTTCAAACCTACCCAGAGGCACCTCGGAAGACAGGCCTGTTGATCTGCTTCTGAAAAATTAGCCACTGAAAACCCTATGGAGCGCAGTAGTTAAGCACTCTGCTGCTAGTGGTTTGAACCCACCCAGTGAGTCTGTGGGAGAAAGACCCGGTGATCCACTCCCATAATGATTACAGTCTAAAAAACTCTATGGGGCAGTTCTACTCTGTCACATGGAACTGCTAGGAGTCTGAATCGACCCGACGGCACCCAAAACAATAACCCATGTATATTACATAATGATATATTACATAATATATACTATACGATAACATATATAATATACATTGTTCTCATTAGGTGCTGTGGAGTTGATACCGACTCAGAGTGATCCCACGTAACTCCATGCCCCATAGCGTTTTCTAGGCTGTAATCTTTATGGGAGCAGATCACCGGGTCTTTCTCTTACAGAGCTGCTGGGTGGGTTCAAACCAGCCAACTTTTCGGTTAGCAGCTGAGCACTTAACCAGTGCACCACCAGGGCTCCTAGAAAGCTTGGCTAGGTCTCCAGAACCAGGAGAGGAGCGCAGCCCCAGGATCGGCAGTCCGGCAGTAAGTCGGGCGTGAGCAGCCCTCAGAACTTCCATGTAACGCAACCCTGAGGGCACCGGGCGAGGGCGCGCAGCCGGCGAGGAGTCCATCGTGAGCAGGGCTGGGCGCGCTCCACAGGGAGTCTTAGCCAAAGCGAGTAGTGAGGGGAGGTATGCAGGGCAGAGGGCGGCTGCTTCTCACACTCCCCAAACACTTCTTCTGAGAGGGATGAGCTAATGACAAATGAAATTAACATGGGGACAGCCTCCACGAGATTGAGTCCAGCACAACTAGATGGTGCCCAGCTACCACCACCGACTGCTCTGACAGGGATCACAACAGAGGGTCCTGGACAGAGCTGGAGAAAAATATAGAACAAAATTCTAACTCACAGAAAAAGACCAGACTTACTGGTCTGACAGAGACTGGAGAAACCCCGAGAGTATGACCCCCGGACACCCTTTTTACTCCCTTGTAACTCAGTCACTCCTGAGGTTCACGCTTCAGCCAAAAAGTAGACAGGCCCATAAAACAAAACGAGACTAAAGGGGCACACCAGCCCAGACGCAAGGATGAGAAGGCAGGAGGGGACAGGAAAGCTGGTAATGGGGAACCCAAGGTCGAGAGGGGAGAGTGTTGACATGTCGTGGGGATGGTAACCAATGTCACAAAACAGTATGTGTACTATTTGTTTAATAAGAAACTAATTTGTTCTAAAATACAATAAAAAAGAATTAGATCCACTATAAATTATCAGCTACCAAAAAAAAAAAGAAGAAACTAACGTGGGATTGTTAAGAGCCTTAAATCCTGTCTCCAGGCTCATCTACAGACGGCAGACGACCTTGGACAAACTGGCTTCTCCATCGCGCAGGCTCTAGTCCAGACTACGCACTGCATCACCACCTCTCATCACGGGACCAATGGCTGCCCTGCATCTATGGCCTCAGCATCGATGTGATTAATGATATTTTTCAAGGTATGAAAAATGACACTAAGATAAAGGAATCCCCTTCTCTATCTCTACTAAAATTTATGCATGTATTGAAAGCAAAAGGACACGTACAGTTTCAGATTTGAAGGGATTAGTTAAAACTTATATTTGGAAGTTTGTGCTATAATTGCTAAATTCATTAAACAAAATTTTAATTCCCTGTTAGTAACCCTTGGATAAAACTTTAAATTCATCATACATGAGCCTCGTGATGGCCCAAACACACACATGGAAACGCACCCACGCATTCTAACGCACCCACGCATTCTAACGCACCCACGCATTATAACGCACCCACGCATTATAACGCACACACATAACACACACACATATTATAATGCACAAGCCTGAGTAACAGAAAATAGCATAGTGTGAAGAATTCAAGAATTTAGAAAATCTGGATTCTGGCTTCACTTTTTCATAATCATGAGACCTTGGGCAAGTCACTTAACTTCTCAGAGGCTAATTTTCTCTGCTGTAAATAGGAACATCTGCCTTGCTCAGCAATAACCATATCAGTGAGAGCAAATTAAACAAAATGTAAAAACGTATTATTAATCATGTTATCATTAAGTGCCGTGAGTCAGACTGACCCATGTGGCAGAGCAGAACTGCCCCACAGGGTTTCCTAGGCTGGAATCTTTCTGGACGCAATTGCCAGATCTTTCTCTCACACAGCCACTAGGTAGGCTCAAACCACCAAGCTTTCAGTTAGCAGTCAAGCGTTTAACCACTGCACCACCAGAGCTCCTAACCAAAAAACCAAGCCAAACCCGTTGCCGTCCGAGTCGATTCTGACTCACAGAGATTCTACAGGACAGAGTAGAGCTGCCCAACAGCTTTTCTAAGGAGCAGCTGGTGGATTCGAAATGCCGACTTTCTGGTTAGCAGCTGAGCTCTTAGCCATCATGCCACCAGGGCTCCACCGAGGCTCCTAGGTCTTAAGATCATAGGAAGGATTATTAATAACATTTTTCTATCTAGGGAACTTGTGAGATAAAACAGTTAACATCCTGCTGATAAAAGAAAACACTCTATTAAAAAAGTGCTTTTGTGCCAGCTGCTGAGGGAAAACAGAATCACAACCCAGCCTCTTAATTAGCGTGAGAAAAGCAGCTCACACTGTAAAAGACAGTGCTTCTCATTCTTGCAGGCTAAACAGATATCCTGCAAAGCCCAAACAGTAAACTGAGGCCCAGTTCTTGAGGCAAACAAAGGGCCAGCAGCAGCAGGTCTGGGGTCTGCGTGAGTGTCTCCCCTCCCGCAATCCCCCGGGTCTCTGGGCTTCTCAAGACTGAGTCACCTCAGGTCCCCTCCCTCGGTCCACAGCATGTCCTCTCATACGAGGCCACCTCAAAAGGGACGAGTCATTAGGCTTCTGTGATCCCCATGACACAGCGCAGTCCTTCCATCACGGTCAGGGAAGATTAAACCCAAGGCTAAGATGTGGCAAAGAGCTGTAGTGCCACAACAGTTAAGTGCTCGGCCGCTAACCAAAAGGTCAGAGGTTTAAACCCACCCAGCGCTCCGTGTGAGAAAGACCTGGCTATCTGTTCCCATAAAAATTAAACCAAAATAAAAACCAATCCCATTGCCATCGAGTTGATTCCAACTCATAGCAACCCTATAAAAGCTTGTAGCCTAGGAAACCCTATAGGGCAATTCTACTCTGTCACATGGGGTTGCTATGAGTCAGGATCAACTACATAGCACCTAACAATAACAATAAGATTTGGCAAGGCAGCAGAAAACTATGGCCTCCAAGCAAGACTCTTAAAATGTCTGACCCCATGTCCAAACCAAACAACAACAAAAAAAGACCCGTTGTCGTCTAGTCAACTCCAACTCATAGCAAACCTATATAACAGAACAGAATTGCCCCATAGGGTTTTGAAGGCTGTAATCTTTATAGAAGGCTGTAATCCCACAGAGCAGCTGGCGGATTCCAACCACTGACAGAAGCAGCTGAGGGCTTAACCACTGCGCCACCAGGGCTCCTACTCCATGTCCAAACACGCTCTTTCTTAAAATGAATTTAAAACCTAGTGGAGCTGCTTGAACTATTGAAGAATTTTTTTTAAAAGAAACTTATGTGTGCTTAGTTGTAGGTTGCTGTTAAGAATTCAAAATCTATGGCTGACCAACATTTCATTCATACATGAAATAAAATTTTATAACGATTGAAGGATGAAATCATCACAGTTCTCGTTATAGAAAAGACACAAGAATCCCAGAAAGGCGCAGGACGTTCGATAATTACAATCAGTACCTGAGACTGCTTGTCCTCTTCCGTTGTAGCTCCGGAAACCAAAGGAAAAGCTGGAAAAAGAAGGAAACATTTTTACATTAAAATTAGCAATTAAGATTCCTCACATTCAACAGTTTTCCTCATAACGAGAAAAAGAGCCCTGAACAAGACATGTTTTGCTCACCGTTAAACAGCTGCGCTGCTGCAAACTAGGACCGCTGGTCTCCTCCATCTCCAGACCTAAAATTATTCATCAATTCAAAGCCAGTATGCTTAAACTACCAAGCAAAAGAAATTGAAATCTGTGTATACCGCTTGTGTCTACAAACATGAACCACAATAAACAGTTACACACAAACAACTGTCGGTGCTGTACTTAATCACCGTCAAGTCGATTCGGACTCACGGTGACCCCATGTGTGCAGAGCAGAACTGCGCCACAGGATTTTCAGGAGATCACCAGGCCTTTCTTCCGAGACACCTCTGATTAGGTTTGAACCGCCAACCTTTTGGCTGGTAGTTGAGCACTTAACCGTCTGTGCCACTCAAGGACTCCTGATTTTTGTGTTATGGACACAGTCTGTGAAAAATTGTAAAGATAACATAAAGGTACAAAACTGTTTTCTTCCCAAAAAAAGGATGTCCATTTGCTTCCGGTAAGCACCGTTGTTATTGCTGTACGCCACTGAGTCAGTTCCAACTCATAGCGACCCTACAGCACAGAGCAGAACTGCCCTCTAGGGTTTCTAAGGCTGTAATCTTCATGGAAGCAGATTTGCCACATATTTCTCCCACGGAGCAGCTAGAGGGTTTGAACCGCCGACCTTTCAGTTAGCAGCTGCACACTTAACCACTGTGCCACCAGGGATCCTTTGTAAGCACTGTAGACACTAGCAATTATAAACGACCTTCATGCAGTCAAAGTCACCAGTCGCTGTTGAGTCAACTCCGACTCATGGCAACCCCGTGTGTGCAGAGTAGAACTGCTCCACAGGGTTTTCAAGGCTGTGACCTTTCAAAGGCAGATTGCCAGGCCTGTCTTCTGCGGTGTCTCTGGGTGGGTTCTAACCGCCAACCTTTCAGCTAGCAACTGAGCGCTGAAGCAAGTGCACCATCCAGGGATCCAGAAAGACTTCTACTCCTGGGCATCCTTGAGTTGGTTGCCTTCTTAAGCAAAGTGGAATGCCTGGGATCCCAGAGGGAAGAAGTACAACCTGTAACTCTCACCATCGGTGCCAGAACAAGGCAGGCAACGAAGTTAAACACGGAGCAAGATTTCAGCCTTTGGGGAAGGAAGCAGGAGAGTTAACAGGACCGGAGAATGCAATGAGGCCGGAGAGCAAGGTGAATTAAAATCGTTCCTCATTTAGAATGATTTCATGTTTTGAGTCAGAGTCCATAAATAGACCAAGAGATCTCTTGAGATACAGCTCAGCTCTGCTTTCTAAAAAAACAGTAACAACATGAAGGTGATACCTGACACACTGAAAATATAAAACAAAACGATTAAACCACAAAGCCAGGAAGATTAACAGAGTAAAAAATAACACCTTCACTTCACAGCGCATTTCTCCTGGAGAGCTAGGAAGGCGTCTCATAGAGTCTGCAATCTCCAGCAAGCGTCCCGGGACAGAAACAGGCCATGACATAGAGCAGTAAGTATTAAAAGGGTTGCACAGGTCCAAACTGGATGGTGCCCAGCTACCATTACTGAACGTTTTGATCAACGATTCTATAAAAGAAGCCTGATCAAAAGGGGAAAATTCAGAACAGAATTTCACATTCTCATGGAATCCAGATGTTCTGGAGTCATGGAAGCTGGATGAACCTCCGAAACTAATGCCGAGATAATCTTTATCTTACCAAAAACATACCGAAGTTGTCTTTCAACCAAACAACAGTTTAGCTTAATTAGTAAAGAATATCTGCCTTGAGCAATGTACTCTTTTAAAGAACTATCTATAGGGGATCAAAAGGACAGCAGTGACTTGAAAGGTTAGACAGGAAGCTTAGGGGGCAGTGAGTTTATGTTAATGGAGGAGGAACAATTTGGCAAACGAGGGTGAGAATGGCTGCACAATTTGAAGAATGTAATCAGTGCCACTGAACTGTACATGCAGACATTGTTGAATTACTGTATGTTCTGCTGTGTATATTCTCAACAACCAAAAATAAACAGTATAAATTATTTTAGAAAGGCTGGACAGGCAATATCATCAAGGAATAAAGTAGTACCAGAGTGTCAGGGACAGGGCTGGCCCTTAGTAACAGAGGAGACCAGACTCAGAAGAAGCAGATGATAACTGTGCCCGTCTGGGTTCCTTCTAATCCCTCCTCAGAGCTCTGGTGGCACAACGGTTAAGCGCTCAGCTGCTAATCGAGAGGTCAGTGGTTTGAACCCACCTAGCAGCTCCACGAGATAAAGACCTGAAGATCTGTCCCCCTAAAGATGACAGCCTAGAAAACCCTATGGGACAGTTCTACTCTGTCACATGGGGTCACTATGAGTTGGAATCAATTTGACAGCGCCCAGCAACAGCAACAAATTCCTCCCCACTCCCTCCCACAGACATCCATGGCCTCCAGTTCTCCTCCATTAAAATCTGCTCCAACAAAAACACCTAAAACGCATTCGCCTTAAGAAGCAAATACCTGACATGGCTTAACCGCTTCCATTTCCAGGCTGACATTTCAAAAGGCGAGGTGAAACGCAAAGCCACATGAACCTCGGTTTGTAGACTTTTGATTACAGCAGGTATCCTCTGGGGTCTCCCCGAGACCATCTCACAGAAAACAGCAAATCCAGGGCCACCTCACCCTGACCACCCTCACCCCGCTTTATTTTTCTTCAGAGCACTTATCACCAGCTGACGTACTATGTATTTATTTGTTTATTGCCTATCTTGTGTGGTAGTTCAGAGCAGCTTCCACGGGGCAGGAACTTAGCTTTATTCACTGCTTGCCTCAGCACCTAAACAGAGCCAGCACATAAAGGCTTAATAAATACTGACTGAATGAACAAATGAACAAATGCTAGTCTTCACTAAGGCCCTGGGATCCCATCACTTAAAGGTGTCTACACCTTATATAGACTTATACTTTTTACAGCAGCCAAGCCCTGGTGATATAAACATTTAAGCACTTGGCTGCTAACCAAAGGTTGGTGGTTCAAACCTGCCTACTGGCTCTGCGTGAGAAAGACCTGGCAATCTGTTCCCATAAAGATCACAGCCTGGGAAACCCTAAGAGGCAGTTCTACTCTGTCACATGGGGTCACTATGAGTCGGAATCAACTCAGCAGCACCCAACAACAGCAGTCCTTACAGGGGGCGCTGTTGACCCAGGAGGATGAAGGAGTCTGGTGCCCAGGCCGCCACCATACTTATAGTCTGAACTCATCTTCACCAGGATCTGATCGACTATCTCACTTTTTACACACACACATCTGTACATGCAGCAAAATCAAAGCACAACTCATTCAACCAAGTTCTAAGAAGAAAGGAGAGATTTAACCCAAAATACTACATAAACTTTGCCTCAGGGTTCTGGGAATTTTTGTTGGTTTGTTTTTGCTTTACTCCATTTACCTTCAAGCTGGTACATGCATTTAAAACCCTCAAGAAGATACCAAAAATAGAATTATTCAAGAAACATCACACAGAGAGGTCGCGATCTGTTAACATCATTTCCAAAACCCAAAACCAAACCCACTGCCGTCGAGTCTGTTCTGACTCACAGCAACCCTACAGGACAGAGCAGAACTGCCCCCACAGGGTTTTCAAGAAGCGGCTGGTGGATTCGAACTGCCAACCTTTTGGTTAGCAGCCGAGCTGTTAACCACTGCGCCACTAGGGCTGCTAACATCACTTAGCACCACAGAATTTCAGAAAATACAACATTCTGACAACTTGCAGGACATAAAAACTGTGGTCAGTCAAATACATTACTCTGATTCAAAAACCCACACCCCTTCCCCCATCCATTCCTAATTGTAAACACAGTCAAAGCTCTATGGGTTAGAATTTCTACTTTTACCAAGAAAAATAGCTTTCTCAATTTAACACATTCCGTGACTCGTTCTGATAACCAGCACTTACTCTTGCCTCACTTCTGGCAAGGCCAGATGGCTGTATGCCTAGGAAAAGGATGTCACATCAAAGTCCCCTGGCCCTTTAGTTGGTAGGCTTGATAGTCCCAGAAAAGCGTCTTTATCTGGTACTGGCTCTGAAAATCAGCACTGCATCACCTTTCATAAGTAAGCAGCTAAGATTATTTGATGAAAGAATGGTTTATACCAGGAATTACATAGAGAGAAGATGTCGCCACTAAATCAAGCAAGTTCCACAAATGCTGCTGTCACTGTCAAGACCACCACCACCACCAGTTACCCTCAAGTCGACCCCTACTCATGGCGACCCCATCCATGTCAGAGTAGAACTGTACGCCATAGGGATTTTTTGTTGTTGTTGTTGAGAATATACACAAAACATACACCAATTCAACAGTCTGTACATGTACAATTCAGTGACATGGATTACATTCTTCAAGTTGTGAAACCATTCTCTCTTTTTCAAGTTGCTGCTCCCCCATTAACATAAACTCACTACCCCCTAAGGCTCCTATCTAATCTTTCCAGTTGCAGTTATAAATTTGATCCCATATAGATAGTTCTTCAAAAAAACATAATGCACAAGGCAGACTTTTTTTTTTACTAGTCAAGCTATTGTTTGGTTTTAAGAAGACTTCAAGGGATATTTCTGGTTTAAGTTTTAAAGATTATCTCGGAGCAATAGCTTCAGGGGTTCATCCAGCCTGTGCAGCTCCAGAAATTCTGGATTCCATGAGACTCTGAAATTCTCTTCTGCACTTCTCCCGTTTTGATCAGGATTCTTCTACAGAATCTTTGATCAAAATGTTCAGTATCCAGTTCTTCTGGTATCGTGGCAAAGTAGGCAGTTAGTTGTTCATGGAGGCAGTTAGCCACACATTCCATCTCCTCCTCCTATTCCTGACTCTCCTTCCTCCTCTGTTGCTCCAGGCAAATACAGACCAACTGTTGTGTACAGGGTTTTCCATGACTGAGTTTTCTGAAGTAGACTGCCAGGACTTTCTTCCAAGGCACCTCTAAGTGGACTCCAATCTGC